CCACCTCGTGGCCGATGGGGTTGAGGAACTCGCTGACGCCGATGGACCTTGGGGTGCAGCTGGGCGGCGCTTGCTCCCGTGGATGACGTCCCCCGGGTTGGCTATCGAGCGTGAATTCGGACTGCACCGGCGCTGGAGCTGCTGGCCTTGGGCTTGGGCACGTGCACCTCCGACGGCTGGGACCGGCACTGCAGCGACTTCTTCAGCACGAACCACACCGTCGGCACCGGCACCGGTGCCGCAACCTTCTCCGCGCTACATGTGCTGCTTTGTGTTTATGGGGATTGCTTGTGTATGCGTACGATCATGATGATTGTGGGCTGCGTGCGTGCATGTTATATGTGTTTGATAAAATGCATGACCAAAAATTTAGTACAGGGGATTAGGTTTTAGGGGATCTGCTAGCTGAAGAAAACTTTAATCCCTCAAAAAAATTGAATTTTGGGGATATGGAGAAGGTTTGAGGGATTAAGTTTAGAGCATCTGTTAGAGATGCTCTCAGGAACACTATGCAGCAATGAGAACAACGTATTACACAAAGATCCCACAAATTTCTGACAAAATAATAAAACAAGATAAACAGATACAGCTATACTGCAACATGCAATTAGGTTCCAACAGGAAACAGCAGGGATATGAAGAATATGCAAGATTACAGCTTTTATACCTTCATCGGAGCAACATTATACGTTGACACACCAGTAATTGGAGCTGAACTGCGATTTTCAGCAGTATAAAATGCAAGAGCACTTTCACCAGGTTTAACCTTCACCTGTAATTGGAATAGATCAACAATAAATACACGCACAAACAAAAATGCTTTTTCATTGGCGCTAAAGTTCTGATAGTACCTCTCTCTGCGTAGGAATAAACTTCCATGGCATTCCATCAGCAACATCAGCATTAAATTGGATAACTATCTCTCTGCAAACAAAATGGACGCCTTAATCTAAGGAACAAGGGAAAGCGTCGACATAAAAACTGAAGCACTACTTTACTTCCGGCATGACATTACAGGTGAAATGCTATGCCACTTATGTGAATACCAGGAAACTGCAAGCAGATTGTTTTTTCTTGTTTGAAGGATCGACAACCAGTTCAATTCAAACGTTAAAAAGGGATCTATTTCAGCACCTTAACGCTTTTGTCAAGTTCTACAACAGTTAGCTTACGGTTAGTACTGCAGACATGCAATGCTGGTCAACACTGTAGCAACTAAACCTTCAAGATAACGTATTCCATATATCTCCCACCAAATCAAGAACCAGATCAAGTGTTATATCAGCTTCGTATTGACGAGGAAATAAAATCAGAAGGACCGTGTTGGGGACAAGCAAAAGGAATCTACTTTATGCAAACGTTCCCAAAACTAACTACAGCCAAGTTAGAAGTCACACTAGAAGTGCTCTTTATAAGGTATGAACAGCCAAGATGAAACAGCAAGTTATTCTAGAGAAGTCAGCAAGCACAATGGAGCAGACTGGAACTTCACGACCTCTCAGAGTAAACTCACGGTGAAGTCCTTGAATGGAATCTTCAGATCAACAATTCTTTCTTTAGAAGTAAAACACACAAAAGCTTCGCGCATCAATGAATAATTATATTAACATTCAAGGTACAATAAAATGAACTGTGCTAAATAATCTATCAAGAGGAAACTGCTAAGGGAATGATAGTTCAGTGGTATGGTGTGGGGTTCAAAAAGATCTAAACGGAAATGGAAGTACCCAAAATCTTGGTACACCATGTTTAACAAGGGTCACCTTGATGGCGTCGTTCCGACTCGAGCATGTCGGGAGATCTTCTCCTCTACACTCTGCAGAGGATCAAACATTGTTATACACCAGGAACACAACACTCCAAGTACAAGCACACTGGATGTTCACTCTTAATGCCCTTTTCGACTATTTATCTATTTACCAGCACCAATAAGAGTTGTCTCCATACCAAATTTTAGACTAAGCCTGGCAGTTACCATTTTTTTTTTCAAAATTAGATCAACACCTTGCATGCAAATCTTTGTCTTGAAATGAACCAGAAATAGTTTGATGGCATTTCAACAGAACATGCACAAATTTATAGATGGCCATGGATAGAACATACAGAGGCCCAGGAGAGGCCGCATTTCCCCATGCTATATAATCTTCTAATTAGAGAACTACTCCTTAGTCTACACATCCCCATTTTAACCTTAAGGAAGAGGATCACAAATTATGAACTCTGCGTAACCAAGGAATCATATCAATTCCCGCACATAACATGAACAAGAAGCAGATTTTAAATCTAAACCCTACTCAATCATGGATCGGTGTTGTTAGTATCGACCAAATCAAGCACAACCTAATGGCGATCCTCGCAAATGCGCCGTTCCGAGAACCCCGAACGGGGGGTAGTAGAGGGCGGGGGAGGGGGCAGACCTCGCGGCGCTGGACGGTGCCGCCGTACCCGGTGGCCTGGCAGAACCGGCGGTAGAGCGGGACGGCGGCGTAGGAGGCGCCGACCATGGCGACTGCCACGCCGACAAGGTAACCCAGGGTCTTCCTAGAGCTCTTCTCCCGGCCCGCTGCCGCGGCGGCGGCGGCCGCGGCGGAGGAAGATGCGAGCCCGCGGCGGAGGAAGGCGTCCGCCGCGGGCTGCCACGGATGGCAAGGGGTGAGGCGGCGGGCGAGCGGGACTGAGAGGTGGCGGTGGAGGAGCCTGGGGAGCGGAGGCATCGCGTCGGCGACGCCGGGGGCGGCGAGAGGTCAGAGATGAGGCCACGGATGGCAAGGGGGAATGCCGCCGCCGCGATTCGCCGTGATGGGTTCGGCTTCGGCAAAGTGCAAATGCAAGGCCTGCTATACTGCGAGCGATGGGCAACTGCAGCGATCGGAGACGTTGGATCCATATCAGACGGCTCTCGATAAGATGTTCAGGGTCAGAGGCGCGACCCGCGACAGCGTGTGCTCTGATCGAAGGAAATGAAAAAGACAGCTATGTGCGTTATTTGTGCATACGTTTATTTTGAACACAGTTTATCAATCAAGCTGCATCCACATTTCCACGCATAGTAGAACTCGATTTATATTTATATTTATATTTATATCACAAGAAATCGATTTTGCGCCAAATTTTAGAAAACAATGAGCATGTGTATACTAAAATTCAGAAGATGGACAGTACTCATGCAGTAGCACTGAAGGTTTTTCTTTGAGTCCACCTTTTACCCTGTAGTTGTATATTTGTGACACATGTTGGCCCATTTAGTGAAATTTCTATCGAATATCAGATTTTGGAGACTTTTAACACGGTTTTATCCCGATTTTGCATTTATCTTGTTTATGTTAGGTAGGATCGGCGTGTTGCGTAAATGATACGTACAAAATTCTATAAAGATCGGAGGGCATCATTGACGATCATGTCCAGACTTCTTTTGTCCATCTGTTCCAGTCCTCCTCCTCGTCCATATAGTTTTGGACCCAGAGCGTCACCTTACACTTTGCCTAATGAAAACTCATCAGAAACGAGGGCCCAAAGCTTCTAAAAGGGGTATTCTAGACAATTTTTCACTCGACGGGGTAAGTGTCATAAGTGCATATCTAGGGGGTCAAATGTGGTGACGGCGGGCATGGGCGATTGTAGTTTTTTTCTCTTTGAATTTTTTTTTAGCGATTGCAGTAGCACTCAGCTAGTGACTGCGGACATGGGCGGACGCCATGGTCTCGCAGACACATACTGCATAACAACACGGCCGTCGTGGAGTGTGGGCTTGGGGAAACTAGGCCATTAGGCTTACGACAGAATCCATCACGAGGGGCACCCACGAGGCGCAAGAACTAGTTATTTCATGCCTATGGCGAGATGGTAGGTCGTCTCGCTATAAGCAAGCCCGAGCTAGCCGGGACTTCTACTGCAGTTTTCTCGTTCACTATAGGTCTGGTTTTCTCTGATTATTTTCCTTATTCCTTGGTTCTTTTTTTTCACCGTTTTCTTTGGGTTTTCTTTTTTCCTTTGTGATAACTTCAGTTTTTTTTTGTTTTTCACTGGGTTTTTTTCCTCGGTTTTCACTACTTATTCCTCCTCTTTCCTTTCTTCTTTGTTTTTCTTAGTGTTTTTTTCTTAGAATTTTTTTTCCTTCGGTTATAATTTTTCTTTTGGTTTCTTTGTTTCTCTGTCTTTTTCACCGTTTTATCCCAATTTATTTCCCTTTTTCTTTCCATTTTTTGTATGTGTTTTTTTACGGTTTCATCGGAATCTGGAACATTTGTTGATTGTGGATTGTTGCTTGTCCATTGGATTCTTTTAGGTTTTTCTTTGTTTTCCTTTTTTGTTTGTCAGTTTTCATCTTTTTATTTTTTTATATAACATGAACATTTTTCAAATACACCGATTAATATTTGTAAGTACATACTTTTTTATGTCTCCCTTTTTACATATAAATCATACAGTTTTTGTATACACCAGGAATTTTTATATATGCGTTTAAACATTTTTCATATACATGTCTAAAAATTTTCTAATACATGATTAATATTTTTATTAAATATATACTTTTGATGTCTAATTTTCTCATACTCATTATTTTTTTGTATGCCCCAAGAACATTTTCTATATTAAACTTTAACATTTTCACATACATAATTAACATTTGTCAAATATATTTTGTATGTCTAGTTTTCTCGTACACATTCTACATTTTTTGTATATATCACAAACATTTTCTATGTACACGTTTAACACTTTTCTAATACATGATTAATATATTTTCTAAACATATATTTATTTTTACATACAGTTTTTTCATATGCATTCTACATTTTTTGTATACATCAGGGAAGAATTATACATGTTTCAAAATTTTAAAATGCATGCTTAATATTGAGATACATGATTAACTATGTTTAAGCATATATAATTTCCGTATCTAGTTTTTTCATACGCACTGTACATTATTGGTATACGTCAAAAACATGTTTTATATGTATTTAAAAGTTTTATAACATTTTTAGGTACATGATTAATGTTTTTAAAATACATATCTTTATGTCTACTTTTCCGAGCGCATTGTACATATTTTGTATAATGAGAAACACTTTTTATACACAGTTAATATTTAAATGCATCATTTTTTTCATTTTTCTATGTAAAGTGATTTTTATAATAGATATATTTAGAATTTTTCAAAATATAAGAAAAGTAAAAAAACAAAAGCGAAATTGTAAAACAAGGAGGAGCTACCTACCTGGGCGGCCATTTACGCGATCCCTGACGTGAGCGAGCGCTACAGCACATGGCAAATCCTATTGAACACATGTGTTCGTCCAATAGCGCGATGGCTTCGTCGAGTGAGTTCACGGGTTCGCTTGCCTTGATCTTTTTTTTTTCTTGTTTGGTTTTTCTTTTTTCTTTGTTTCTTCATGTTTTTTTGGTTTTTCTGTTGGTTTTCTTCGCTGGGTGTTTTTGGTTTTTTCTTTGGTGGTTCTTCGTTTTTTTTTCTTTTTTAATTTGGGTTTTTATCACTTTTGCCATCGGCTGTATAACGCTACTTAGTTTTGCCACTAAATGTTTTCACTATTCAGAAATGTCATTGTTTTGTTAGACACAAACTCAGAAATACCATTTTTCACCGTTACCGGCTGGTCAATGCACGTTGATGGGAGGTAGATGACAAAAATACCCCTATCCCGTTTGGCAGCCCCCCCCCCCCTCTCTGTTGACTTGTGGGGCCATTTGTGAGGGGCACATGAAAAGAGAATAAAAATTGGAAGGTGCAAGCTAAACAACTGAGCCAACAAGATATTGTGATTTAGAAGATGATATATCCCTTATATTTTACATGGAATAATAATCCAACACAGCAACGCCTCGTATCTTTTCTTGTTCCTAGCTAGTTGAGGTTGGTTTTGAAAGTTGGTTTGGACAACAGATCTGCACGAGTGGTTGGCCGGTTGGAAGAATTTGTCTGGTACGAGTAGACATAAACAAATGAGGCAGACCTACATGCCCAATTTTTTTTAGGGTCACACACTAATTAACAGATACAGTGTCTGCATCCATCCTGACCATCAAGAACATAAGTACCAAATTGCACGCGATTATCACTAAGGCAAAGTCAGCTACTACAAATTCTACGTACAAATTTCGACCTCTATAAGCTATACTGAACCACAAACGTACACTGAGAATTAGTATACTCACAATGCATGAATTTCAGAGCCTATGTCATGTTGGGGCGTCATGTGGCCGACGCAACCCTCCGATTCGGTCCTGCTATCCGTCGTCATTGTCGTGGAACAATTGCACTTCAAGACTCGGGAGGAGCTGCGGAGTCAACCGAGAAAAGCGCTGGAGCTGCCTGCCTCCGGTGGTGGTGCCGGGCAGGAGGAAGAGCCGAAGCTACGATGGGTGGCGGCACTCGGCGGGAGGTGCCGCAGCTGCGGCGAGTGGGGCTGTGCAGGAGCTGGGCGGGCAACCCGGCGACCGGCGGTGCCAGGTGAGGAGTTTGGAAGGCGGCGGTGGTGGCTGAGGATGTTGGTTCCGGTTGGGGAAACTTCCACGAACAGATCGGGTCAAGGATAAGGTAAGGTTCTGTTTAGTTAGGTTCAGACATCAGTATATAAGGATTGTATCTTCTCATAGAACAACCCCGCCCTCCCGAATTCTATTCTCTTTTTCTCATGCGCCCTTACAAATGGGATATGGGTAGTTTCGTCATCTAACTTCAGTCAACGTGCATTGACCAAACGGTAAGGGTGAAGAATGGTCTTTTTGAGCTTGATCTAATAGAACGGTGGCATTTTTGAGTAGTGAAAAATGTTTAGTGGCAAAACTGAGTAGCGTTATACAACTGATGGCAAAAGTGATAAAAACCCTTTTAATTTTGTTTGGGTTTTCTTTGATATTATTTATCTCTTCATCGGTTTTCTTTGTTTATTCTTTTTTTCGATATATTATGATTTTCTTTTTTTTTCATCAGTTTGTTCATTATACTCCGGTTTTCTTTTTTAAGGTCCTTTATCATTTTAAATTGGTTTATTTGTTTATTTTATTTGTTTTCTTTTGATTTTCTTCATTTTTCTTTTATTTCACGTAGGTTTTCTCAGTATAAAATATATATTTTTTAGTGTACACATGAAACATTTTTTTGATACACATTAAACATTTTTCAAATACATGATCTTAACTTTTCGTAAATGCTTGTTCTTGACCACACTCCCGGCCACACTTTCCCTATCCCCTATCCATTCCCTGCGGTGCGATGGGTGCCTGCTGCTGCTGTATGCCATGTGGCGATCAGAGGAATTCGAGAATATTTTTGCCAAAAATGCAACAGTCAAATGTGTTTCCTTTTTGTCAAAATTTTAATGGGTGGGACATATGCTGGTAGTCCGCTATTCTTCTACAGTTGTCCTGACACATTCTTCTACAGTTGTCCTGACACAGAATTGGAGATTGGATTGTTGCGGAGCATCGATATTTTGCCACATTCGATATTTAGATCAATACTCAGAACAGTGACGGATTTGTGCTGGAAATTAAATCAGATCGGCAAGATAGGCAGCCCCAACTCCCAACCACTAACCATGGATATGGAGACCACGCCGACATTTTCATTGATGAGAAGCCATGCCCACTTGCAAATACACGAAGATACTCCTACAGTACACAACACCACAGCAGGACCAGATCTCATTTCATCAAGACGTACGTAAAGTCAACAGATTCTTTTATTGCGCCCGTACTTGAACCAACCGGCCACGGACCACACACCGGCAACACCGCCGGGCCGGAGCACGCCCTACCCATGACCATGATTGATCGATCGATCTCTCCGAACAAGACGCACCTGCCTGACACGGCCCGCGCGCGACGCGTGACCCAACCACTAACCAACTACTGCGGAGTGCGGACCGGCGGCGGCCCGGGCCTTGAGCCAGTCGACGACGTCGGCGAAGACCTGCTCCACGTTCTCCTCCGGCTCGCCGACGATCTGGTGCCACATCCCGGGGTACACGCGCAGCGTCTTGTCCTTGCTCCCGGCGCGGCGGTGCATCTCCTCCACGCACGCCGGGTCGCACACGGTGTCGTCGCCGCCGTGCACAGCCAGCAGCGGCAGCTCCACCTCCTCGAAGCGCGCCTGCAGCTCCCGGCACACCCGGAGGAGCTCGAGCGCGGTGGCGGCGCGGGGCGGCGCCGTGGTGCGGCGCGGGCTGGCCAGCGCGAGCGCGCGCTTCCACTCCACCTTGAAGGACCGGCCCGGGATGTTCCCCCTGGTGAAGGCGACGTGCCAGGTGGGCGCCACGGCGGCCGCCGCCCAGAGCAGGTGCTCCAGCGGCCACGGCGGCATGAACCGGGGGCTGACCCCGCACATGGCGCCGTTGAGCACGGCGCCGTCGCGCCAGCGCGGCTTGTCCCGGAGGTGCAGCAGCAGCGCGATGGCGCCGCCGAGGGACTCGCCGTAGAGGAAGCAGGGCAGCGGCGGCGGGTAGTCGGCGCGGAAGGGGGCGAAGGCGGCCTCGCAGTCGTCGAGCACCGGGGTGATGTCCGGGATGTGGGCCTGGAGGCCCTCGGAGAAGCCGTGGCCCTGGTGGTCCACGGCGGCGACGGCGAAGCCTTGCTTGGCGAAGTGGACGGCCGTCAGGAGCACCATCCAGCTGGACTCGCCGGTGAAGCCGTGGACGACGGCGATGGCGCCGAGGATGGGGGCGTCCCCGCTGGGCACCCAGCGCTGCGTGAAGATGCGGAGCCCCCGCGGGTTGACGAAGGTGGATGAGGAGTGCGTGACGCCGTGGCGTGCGTAGTACTCCTCGGCGGTGAGCCGGCCGAAGGGGCTCCGCTCGTCGGCCTCCGCCACCGGATGCACCATGATGGCTTTCTCCTGCTCTGACCCCGCTCTGCGCGCTCCCCTTGATTTGGTGTGTTCTTGGAGTAGTAGATGCAAACGAGGGCGAGAGGAGGGTATTTTATTTGGCAAGAAGTAGTACCAGACTCTACAGGCGGATCGGCCGATGACGGCTGATGAATGATGCTACTGTACTACGGTATGGCGTTGGCGTGGTACCGTCGATTCTTAACTAAAATATCATATTCAGGGTAGACAAATATAATACGATTTGTAGTACATATGAAATTTCTACAGAGTCCATTTGTTGTGTCGACCACAAAATGAAAGAAAAAATCTGTCACTCAGCGAAGAGGACAAAACGCATTTATTGATCAGCGTACATTGATTTTCCTGGCGCAGCTTCGCACCTACTCGTCTTTACAGCAGTGTGTGTAGACTGAAGAACCGATGGGGATGTCCTTTTCGTTCCAAATCACGTACCCGGAATTAAATTCTCGTGAACCAGATCTACAGCTTTTCATTGCGCCAAACAAATCAATTTCCTGGTACGACCTCGTTCCATCTGGGATTCTGGGGTGTTCGATATGCTTCTCCATGCTGCATTTTACATGCCTTCAACGAGAGGTCACTTTTTTGCCGGAAAAACTTTCAATCTATTCATTTTCAATCATGGCAGTACAACGAATACCAGAAATAAAAATTACATCTAAATTCGTAGACCACCTAGCGACGGCTACAAGCACCAAAGCGAGCCGAAGGCGCGCCGCCGTCATCGCTCCTCCATCGCTGGAGCCGGGCACAACTTGTTGTAGTAGACAGTCGGGAAGTCGTCGTGCTAAGGCCCCATAGGACCAGCACCCCAGAACAGCAACCGCCGCCGATGAAAAATAACGTAGATCGGAAGGATCCAAACCGAAGACACACGAACGTAGACGAACAACGACGAGATCCGAGCAAATCCACCAAAGATAGATCTGCCAGAGACACACATCCACACGCCCACCAACGATGCTAGACGCACCGCCGGAACGGGTGCTAGGCAGGGAGACCTTTATTCCATCTTCAGGGAGCCGCCACCGTCTCGCCTTCCTGAGTAGGACACAAACCCTAACAAGATTGAAAAAACGACTAAAAACGGAGCCCTCCTGCCGGCCCTTGCCAGGATCCACCGCGCCTCCATGGCCCTAGGGCCACCGGAGGCGAGGCGGACCTGTGTCGGCGCCGGCGAGAGGCACAAACCCTAACTTTCTTTTTTGGAGGAGGAGGAGGAGGTGGAGGAGGAGCCCTAACGAGAGGTCACTTGGTACCCTAGCCGATCCCTTCTCCGGCTTAGTGGAGTATAATTTTTACTCCAACTCCCAATATTTCCTTAAATCTCCTTAAATTTACTCACTACCGCGGCGCCCGAGTAAAATAGGCGCCTCTCTTCCTCCTCCCCTCCCCTCCCTCGCCACCCTGTCTCCCGCCGCCGCAGCCGCCATGTCCCTCCGCTGCCACCGACGATCGGCCGGCCGAAAAGGATAGCCCGGTCCTTTCCTCACTCCATCGGACAGAAATCACCCACGCGCCGCCGCCCATGCCCAAGAAGAGTTTGGGGATGAAAAAACCCACCGCGTCCAAGCTCCTCCTCCAACTGCTCCAATGGCCTTCGGGGTGGCCACCGCCTCTACGGCAACGGCACACCGCCCTCCCACCGCACCCGTCGAAGCCAAACGAGCTCGAAAGCCGACGACGTCGGCTACATCGCTCGTCGATGCGGCCGTGAAGAAGAAGATGAAGAAGGCCAAAGCAACGCCTCGTACTACAACTCTGGCAGTCCTACGGCCACTGCTCCGACGCGGTTGGCGGCCGCAGCCGACAACAAACATCGCGGCCGCCAAGTGCTTGATGAAATGCCTACAAGGTAAAAAGAAAAACCTTGCGTCTTGTTGGTATCCGATAGTGATTGTTGGTGGCTGGTAGTGATTGTTGGTAGTGTTTGCTTTGTTTATTGTAGTGTGGAGATGAACACCGCTGAATTCCTTGCCTCCTTGGAGTCCTCGGCCGCCGTTGGACTTGATGAGCTCAACAACGACTTGTTTTGGGATCATTCGGAGGCCACCCAAGACATGGAGCAAGGGGTGACTGAGCAAGATGAGGAGGTTGAAGAGGTTGTTGCCGAGGAGGAGGAGGTTGTGGAGGTGACTGAAGCAAGCACGAAGGTGCCAAGGTGCCGCACCCAAAACTACAAACAAAAGGAGGATATTGCTCTTTGCGATGCTTGGTGTGCGATCTTCATGGATGCAACGATCGGCGCGGATCAAACTAAAACCGTGCTTTGGAACAGTGTTACCGACCACTACAACAACTCCGTCGATGTGCGATCAAGCCATACATAAGGTTCTCTTGGGCATCGTTGGAGCGTCATTCATGACCAATGCAACCGATGGTCCGGTTGCATCAACAAAGTGAATCATGCGCCACCGAGCAGTGTGCAAGTGGCGGAGTATGGCTCCTACATCAAAGAACTATTCAAGCATAGAAAGACCAAGTTCGGCCACAAGCCCTTCACGTTGCATCATTGCTATAAAAGAGCTATGCAAAAGCGAGAAGTGGATCCAAAGAATCATGAAGACCACTCCAAAGAGATCAAGGTTGAGCATATCCGTTGAGGATGATGACGAGGTTGAGGAAGATGCCAACAATAGACCGGAAGGAAACAAGATTGCAAAAGAAAGAAAGAAGAGAAATGCATTGGTGGCACTTACAAAGAAGAACTTGTTGCAATGATTGAGACCGAGAAAGTGTTGGCGGCCTAATGCAAAGAAGAGAAAATGGCAAGCTGGAATGAGCTCAAGGTGCTGGAGGATGAGAAATGGAAGGCCAAATTGGCGGCCAAAGAGAGAAAATTGAAGGCGGAGGAGCGTATTGGGAGCTCACTCGTGAAGAGATCTTGGAAGGCTCTCTTCAGAATGTTGGTGATGGTGTTGGTGTTTATGGAGGTGGCCGAGGGGGTGGTGGCGGTGATGGTGTTCATGGTGGTGGCCGAGTGGATAGTGGAGTTTATTTATTTGCCGAGGACCACATTTGAGTGGTGGTGGCTAAGGGGGTGGTGTTGCATGGCATTGGTTAGCTCGACCCACAACATATACATGCTATGTTTGTGCTAATTTTGGATTGATCATTGTGTTTGAAGTGATGTCTTTTGGGTGAACTTCGTGAAGGAAATGTCGACAATATGGATACGGGGGTACCCAGACTTGCATGCCTGTGGCCCACGGCATGGCTCCATCGACAGCCTGGTATGACCCAGTTTCAGCATCAACTACTCAAGACCCTCGCGAGAGGCCAAGCCTCGCGAGGCGGACGACACCAAGACCTCCATGGGGATCGCCCCCCTCAGACTGGCTCCCGAGGAGCGGAGATTCCTATGCAAGGCTCACCTCGCGAGGTTCGGTTGATGTGAGCCATGACGACCAAGGCCAGGCAGACGCCACGAGGCGCAGAGTACCAGTTTCCTCTTTGGTGCAAGGGAGGCAAGCAGCAGGCGCGGAGTCCCGAGGAATCAGCCAAAGGTTTTTGTTTTGGTGCAACAAGACCAAGACCGCCAGGACGGCAGGACGGAAGTCACCACCGAGCCAACCACAACATCACAACCAGAGGCTTTTGCAGGTGAAGACCACTTTAGTCAGGATATGACTTACTTGTTGTCTTACTTCAAATTTGGCCGTTGTGGGATCCCTTCCCGCCAACATTTGGGAAGAGGACCAATGCCACTATAAATAGGACCTAGCCACCGCCAAGGAGGGGGAATTGTATCCATTCCACCCTCACCATCTCACCAGCTCACTTGAGCCCAATAACATGCCTCCTGAGGTTGTTCTCTACTGTACTAGTTCTTCCTCAGCCCCTCGAGGCAAATCCACCACAAAGCAAGAGTAGGGTTTTACACCGCAAGGTGGCCCGAACCTGGGTAAACTGTTGTGTCTTCCTTTCCTTTCGAGCTCGACGTGATAGGCCATGAGGTGCGTGAGTTGGTAGGCTGGGTAGGTTGAGATCTCCGCACGCACCCCATAGTTCGAACCTCTTAAGGTTTTGCGGAACCCGAAATCCGACATTTAGCGTGCCATGTAGGGGTGCGTCGGATCTTCTCTTCCATCGATCGATCCACCACTACTCCGACGCTTCCATAGCTGATGCATGTCGGGCTCGCGCCGAGCGCCGGGCCGCGGTCGCAGCCCTCGTTGCTTAGACGGCACCGGCGGGGGACGGCTATCCTCGTCGTCCCCCATCACCAGCGGCTAACGCCGCCACGGACCCTGCTGGCCATGAGCAGCAAGCTTCATCGGTGCACCCCTCCGTGCGCCACGATGGGCGCACCGCCACTCCGTCGCTTACTCCGGCTGCTGATGTCTACTACGCAACTTTATTCTTGTAGACACGTGTTGGGTATGATTATACGTTATTCATCAACCAAAACCCTAATGTTGCCTAGATACTCCAATGTCACCACAAGTATCCGCGGGTACGATTATATGATATGCATCATACAATCTCAGATTCATCTATTGAAACCAACACAAAGAACTTCAAAGAGTTCCCCAAAGTTTCTACCGGAGATTCAAAACAAAAACGTGTGCCAACCCCTATGCATAAGTTCACAAGGTCACTCAACCCGCAAGTTGATCACCAAAACATGCATCAAGTGGATCACGTGATATCCCATTGTCACCACAGATAAGCACATGCAAGACATACATCAAGTGTTCTCAAATCCTTAAAGACTCAATCCGATAAGATAACTTCAAAGGGAAAACTCAATCCATTACAAGAAGTAGAGGGGGAGAAACATCATAAGATCCAACTATAATCACAAAGCTCGCGATACATCAAGATCATGCCAAATCAAGAACACGAGAGAGGGAGAGAGAGATCAAACATATAGCTACTGGTACATACCCTCAGCCCCGAGGGTGAACTACTCCCTCCTCGTCATGGAGAGCACCGGGATGATGAAGATGGCCACCGGTGACGATTCCCCC